AATATTAAAATTAAAAAGTTTTAAATCCTTACGATCTTTTTTGTTTTGCCATCGCCATGTTCCGCACAATGGCTAATATGTCATTTACTCGAATCATCGCATGACTAGCCATCATGAGCACGATCACAGCCATTGGCTCCAGTTGACTGTTTCAAACGACTATGATCAGAGTCGTACACATACATAGTGGAATTAGCAAATACGATCTCCACTGAAAAACAGTGTGAGTTCGCGATCACTGGAATGTACATATGTGTACAATCCGTCCACGGCTGTAGCCCAATCACCCACTCTAACATGTACTCAGACATAACATATTCATTCCTCTTGCTTAGGAGCTCGTGATGCTCAATAGCTACGATACGAACAAACTCAGAGCTTAGGATAACTCGATTAGGATTCTCATAAGATCTCAAGTATCTCTGAGCCCGATCGCGTAACAATTCCATAGCCAAGTCGATATACTGATACAAAAAAAAAACCACCAAAAAAGATAGAGTCGTTTAAGTAAATGAACCAACAACTTCTATAAATATAATAAATGGAAACTCAAAAAACTTACATCATCGGCGAGCCAAGCTGAGGTTGTCAGTACATCTTCGAACCACTTTTTAGCGTTGGGCATGGTCATACAGCCAATGGTATAACTATCTCTGAAAAATTAAAAAAAATTACGAAAAATACAAAAAAAGAGTAGCAAAATCATAAAATAGTTACTCGGACTTAAGGGATTTGAACCAATCATCGAATGCCTTCTGTCTGACCGGGTCGACGTCGGGAAAAAGATTGGGGAATGTCCCATCCACAAACCTCCTTCTCTTTGCCTCGGTCGTGTATGGGGAAACGATGTACTGTGACGACAATCTCGATCTCTTACCGACTATCAGTTCTGGCGCGTCATTAGCACGCTTCTTACCCTTCGACACCTCCGTCGCCCCCTCCAACACGAATACTACATCGTCATTCGTCATCTCTGGCGTCCTCTCGTCCTCCGCAACCCCCTCTACTACCACCTCTGGTGTCCCCTCCGCTACCTCCTCGGTCACCCCCTCCGACACCCCTGTCTCTCCCTTTGGCACCCCTGTCCCTCCCTCCACCCCCTCTATCTCGGCCTCCTTCGGCACCTCCACCTCGACCATCCCGACCTCCTCTAGCACTTCCGGCCCGACCTCCACCCCCTTCCTCCCGGCCTCCGGCACCGAATTAAAAAACTCATCGAATCCTGCGGCCGTTGCCCACCAATCTCGAGGAACACCAGTCTCCCCGACACTCCCTCTGACAGAACCTTGGAAGCCTACTACATCGCCTCGAAGTGCTGCAACCTTAGTATGAAGGTCTCCTATATCTCGTCACAGCACTCCAATCTCATTCGTAGTGCTACTATCTCTGTCGTAAAATCCTATCGCAGCACCCCTATCTCCTCTCATAGTGCTACTACCTCTGTCGTAAAATCACGTCGCATCGTTCCCAGCTCCTCTCTAATAATACAAGTCATGCGTGCAAAGAAATCATCTGAATGACGGGTCTGACTGGGTACAGGCAATCCACGTGGAAGGTGGGTGGGTGCGGGAGACGGAGATCTCCTCGGAGAATGTGATAATGGCGGTAGAGGTGATCTCATCGGTGGAGGCGAAGGAGATCTCCTACGTGGAAATGCTCGTTGTTCTATTGGATGACGCTCCTACATAGAGAAAACAATTAATATTAATAATCCACACATGAATATTATAAGTCGGAGTAAATAATGATCTTAAATAAACGTACCATATTTCTATCCGGAACGGACTCAAACACTAGATCGTTTTCAGTAGGTCGAACATGTAATTCACGTATATATATTTGATCCTCCTCTTCCATCGAAACAACCAACTCAGCATGAACTTCAAGCTGACATATCATATTTCGACGTGTTAACAAGCATGTATCGAGCCGAGTTAATGTACGTACAATATAAATTGAAAATATATATTACTCACCTGAGGATCGTCGAGGATAGCTGTCAAATCTTTAGCCGATGACTTCTCATGTGCTCGTCAACGAAGCATTCATGGGTAGCTGGTCTACCTTCTGATCGCCCATTTGCTACCCAAAGCAGGGATAGCCTCATATGCCCACAACTGCAACAATTACCAAAAAAAATAAAATTACTTATACATTTAATAAAAAAGTTTAACACGCATTACGTTAAGCTGAATATTTACCTGCAAAGCCATGCAAAAGCCATATGCATCATATTTGCGCTCTCCCCTCTCCAATTTTGGCATAGTATGTACCCTCCTGAATACGTGAAGAGTATCAGTGTAACATCTCCGACCCCATGGAAAGCTCTTGAAAGTATCAATATCATCAACAACATCCAATGAAAAAAGATCAATCGACGTCCTTTGATGTTGACACCTCAATATACTCTCTAGTATATACACCAATCCTAACTTCAACTTGTCTAACATGTGATCGCATCTCCTAAATGCGTCATCTAACTGTGGTGGTGTAACCGGCCCTTTACCTCCAAAATATAAATCCAATAACATTTTATTTGGTATAATACGGGCTCTCGCTTCTTCTTCTTTCGTACATCTCAAGCCTGTAATGAGGGCAAATTCAAGGATCGAGAATCTCGATACCTTTCCGTTCCCCATAGCAAAATAAAGCTGATCGCCATCGACTGGTTTAAGCAGCCGGAGTAATAAAAAAATCAATAATTTGTCCGGAGAACTGCACGTCCTTCACCGGATAGAAGGACCATAAAAACGATCGATGGAGTATGTCGATGGGCTCCTCTTCCAACCCCTCAATCACTATCGCATAGCTGGAAAAGTTACAATACGTCGTAAATTTTCCCAAATGAACTCTCAGATCGTTGTTCATATGATATTTCATCATACAAAAATAATACATGTTAAAATCATATACAAGAGATTATAAATAAAATATCGTATCTTCAAATTTAACCAATCAGATTTTATATTAATAAAGCAATAAATAGATTCATCTAATCACATATTAAAACAGTTAAACAAAAAAATTCTCACATATTTGATTATTTAATATTTTTAAAAAAATTATATTTCGTTAATTATCTAAATATATATATTATTTATTTTGTATTTAATTATTCAATTTCGATTATTTATTTGAATAAAAATAATAATATTTAATTCGATTTTTCATTTAACTATTTCTTTAATTAATTATCTTAATTGGTTAAGTAAGAAAATTATTATTCAATTTAATTTATTCGTTAAATATTTCGTTAATTATGTATATTATTCGTTTCATATTAAATTACTCTATTTTGATTATTTATTTGAATAAAAATAATAATATTTAATTCGATTTTTCATTTAACCATTTCTTTAATTAATTATCTTAATTGGTTAAGTAAGAAAATTATTATTCAATTTAATTTATTCTTTAAGTATTTCGTTAATTACGTATATTATTCGTTTCATATTTAATTATTCTATTTCGATTATTTATTTGAATAAAAATAATAATATTTAATTCGATTTTTCATTTAATCATTTCTTTAATTAATTATTTTAATCGATTAAGTAAGAAAATTATTATTCAATTTAATTTATTCTTTAAGTATTTCGTTAATTACGTATATTATTCATTTCATATTTAATTATTCTATTTCGATTATTTATTTGAATAAAAATAATAATATTTAATTCGATTTTTCATTTAACCATTTCTTTAATTAATTATCTTAATCGGTTAAGTAAGAAAATTACTATTCAATTTAATTTATTCTTTAAATATTTCGTTAATTATATATATTATTCATTTTATATTTAATTATTCTATTCCGATTATTTATTTGAATAAAAATAATAATATTTAATTCGATTTTTCATTTAACCATTTTTTTAATTAATTATCTTAATTGGTTAAGTAAGAAAATTACTATTCAATTTAATTTATTTTTTAAATATTTATTTAATTATGTATATTATTCATTTCATATTTAATTATTATATTTTGATTATTTATTTGAATAAAAATAATAATATTTAATTCAAATTTTCATTTCACTATTTCTTTAATTAATTATCTTAATTCGATAACTAAAAAATATATATATTATTCAATTTAATTTATTCTTTAAATATTTCGTTAATTATTTATATTATTTATTTCATATTTAATTACTCTATTCCGATTATTTATTTGAATAAAAATAATAATATTTAATTCGATTTTTCATTTAACCATTTCTTTAATTAATTATCTTAATTGGTTAAGTAAGAAAATTATTATCCAATTTAATTTATTCTTTAAATATTTTGTTAATTATGTATATTATTGATTTCATATTTAATTACTCTATTTTGATTATTTATTTGAATAAAAATATATTAATATTTTCATTTAAGTATTTCTTTAATTAATTATATTAATTGTTTTCATAATTAATTATTTTAATTGTCTTAAAATGTATATTATTTATTTCATATATTTAATTACTAAACTTATTTAATTACTAAACATATATTTATTATTTATTACGTATATTTAATTACCAAACATATATTTAAGTTAAAAAAATTAAAATTCTATTTAATTTATTTTTAAATATTTTGTTCATTATCTTAACATATGTATTATTTATTTCATATTTAATTACATTTTTAACATAAAAATTAAAATAAATTCGGGAAAAAAAGGGACCCATTGTCGTGTCCGGACCCGGCCAAATGGTCCGGAACGGTCTAGAGCTCGTCGAAAAACTCCATTTTCGACGAGTTTCGTCTCATTTTTTCACATTTTTCAACATTTTAACCTCAAATTCGATCTTTTCTTACATTTTAATCATAAAAAATTGAATTTAACTCATATTCAAATCCTAACATTCAAACTTTCACATATTAAAAGTAATTATTTATAGAGAACATGTCTAATCTTCAAAAAAATGGCGTTCTCCGGCTGATCGAGGCGCGTCCGATCTTGGTCGAACTGGGCCAGGTCCAGGTCGTCCGTAGGCTACGAGATCCGAACTAGTTTTTCCTTCTTCTTTTTTCTTCTCTTTTTCTCTCTCTATGAAACCATTCTCTTCTTTGCAAATGAGGAGGGTACTTTCGACCCTTTACATTTTGTTTACATTTTTTTTTATTACAAAAAATTTAATCAAAGACCCTTATGAAAAAGTCGACGGGTGAGGCAGCCATCAACCACCATTTCCTCCATCGCTAACTAGTTCACACCACTTTGAAAAACTCATAAAACTCATTCAAACGGAACCTAAACCCAAAATAACAAAATTCATCACAACAATTCACCATGGCCGAACCTAAATCTCACCTCTTCATCTTCTTCTTGATTTCTTCTATTTTTTCTGTCCGTTCCTTGACCCTTTCCTCAGATATTATAGCTCTCAAGCCTTTAAATACGCCATTAAACCTGCCTCCATTCCTCCCAATTCTTGCCTCGGCACTTGGGATTTCTCTACCGTGTTGGGATTTCTCTACCGAACCTTGCTCCGTCCCTAGAGTCACTCATTTCACCTGTGGCATCACTTGCAGTGGAAGCCGAGTTGTTCAACTCACCCTCGACTCACAGGGCTACTCAGGAACACTCACTCCATTCATTGCAAACTTAACTCGACTCATCACCCTCGATCTCACAGAGAACAATTTCTACGGCCCAATTCCGTTTTCTATTTTCTTTCTTCCTAATCTGCAAAACTTGATCCTTCGAGTCAACTCGTTCTCCGGTGTAATCCCACCTTCTGTGACCTACCTTAAATCTCTGAAATTTCTGGATCTTTCACGGAATTCACTTTCTGGGTCATTGCCGAACTCGATGAACTCGCTTACCAGCTTGTCGAGAATGGACCTGAGCTACAACAAACTCATTGGGTCACTCCCGAAGCTCCCTTCCAACCTTAACGAACTCGCTTTAAAAGCTAATTCCTTAACAGGATCTCTTTTTTATTCATCATTCAATGGGTTAACTCAGTTGATGGTGGTGGAACTCGGTGAAAACTCCTTCACCGGAACTCTCGATGCTTGGCTCTTCCTCTTACCCTCCTTACAGCAAATCGATTTAGCCAATAATAGCTTTACAGGTATTATCGTCCCAAAGCCTCCCCCAAATTTTAACAGCCAACTCGTCGCTGTAAATCTGAGTTTCAACAGAATTAATGGAATTTTACCTGTTAATTTTATTTATTACCCTATACTGCGGTCTCTGGGACTAAGTTACAACCAGTTACGTGGACCGATCCCAAAAGAGTACAACAAGAAGGGCTCAATGCAGAGATTGTTTCTTGACGGGAATTTTCTGAATGGATCACTGCCGGCAGAATTTTTCTCCGGGGACACGGCGGTTACTGGTAGCTTCGGGGACAACTGCTTGACGAGTTGCCCGGTTTCTTCGCAACTTTGCTCAAAATCCCAGAAACCTGCTTCGATTTGCCAGCAGGCCTATGGTGGGCCGGCAGACCAAGGTCTTAATTGTCAGTCAAATGTATAATTTATTTTGTAGGAGATATTTTACTTTCAATTTTTAATTTTTAAGCACAGACTTTTTGATTAAAAAAAAAATTTCCCCTGAACGATCACGAGTATTTGTATGCAGTAATACAAGGGCATCTTTTCTTAGGATTGACCCCTTATTTTGTGGAAATGATCAATAATTTATTTTAATCGTTATGGGATTTTCAACTTTTTAATCATATAATTTCTCAATTTATATCAAAATATATTTTTAAAAATTTAATTTTAATTTTTACCAAACATGAACTTAATTTTGTGAAAAGTAATTTTTTTGGAAATGCGTGTTTATAAATTAAGAAAAATTATGGGTTCATTATTCAAGTATAAAATCATTTTATTGAGATAATATAAAATTGAAACCCAAAGATTTTAAGGGATGTATTCAATTGAAACTTTTAAAAACTTTTAGGGACTTAAAAAGCTTAAATATATTTAATTGACTTTTAAAAATTCTCCAAAAATTTGGATGTATTCAATTGAAACTTTTATGAACTTTTAACATACTTTTAAAATTGACACAATATTGAATTAAAACTTTTTAAAAGTCTTTATAAATATGAGACATTCAAATTGAAACTTTTGGAGTATTCTCTACTTATTGGACTTCTTGATGAAAAATATAAATAGCAAATCTCATATGCTCTGAGATTTGCAAAGATTTCAAAGAAAAAAAACTCTTTTTCTTTTAATTCTGAGATTTTTTTCATATCTTTTCAATTCATTTTCTGTAATCAATTTATAATTATTCTATATGTATATAATTAATTTTGAATTGAAATTATATACAATTGTTTCAAAACGTAGAATTTCATGCAATCAATCTATTCCCTTTTTTTCTTTTGTTAAGAAAAATTTGTATTATTAGAAATTATGTTAATCTCGCGAACAAATTTTGATTACATTTTTAGAAATTGATGTAAAAGTTTTTTTATTATTTTATTTGCACAAAAATTGAATGATTGGTCCATTTTGGTGACTTTATTTGAGAAAATTTTGTGAGCGTCATTGTTTCTAGAAAATGTTAATTAGTTAGTAAGAGAGATAGTAATTTTTTGGGGTATATAATGAATTTGCAAGATGAAAAGTTTTTAAAAATCTTTAATCAATGTCTATAGAAGTCAATTAAAAGTCCATAAAATTCACAAAAATCACTCACTTAAAAAAATTTGTAGAAATATTTAAAAGTCTCAATTGAATAATTTATATTTGGCTTGACTTTTGAAAAGTCAAAATAGATTTTTGATATTCAAAAGTTGCTTTTAGATTCATTTGGCCAAATTTATGAAAGTACTCCTAGTAGTTGGAAGAATTTTGAGAGGAAGTTATTCAAATGTGACTTCCAAATTAAGGTGGTTTATTATATATCATAAGAAGCAAAAGCATGAGTTATACCAAATTAGCACATCTATAATACATTAAGCCCTGTTTGGTGGAAATTAAAATCAAATTTTTAGTAGATTTTATAAAAGTTAATAAAATATGTGGTTGAAAAGTTGATAGTCTCATAAATTCGTGGTTAAAATTAACTGTTGACTTTTACTGAATTAAAATCTTGATTATAAATTCTATCAAATAAGAACTAAATATCATATCAAGTGAAAATTATTTTTTGAACAATTATAACCCTATTACAATTTAATTATTTCAATAACATTTTACTTTTCATTTTTTAATATGTATTTAATTTATAAATTGTAATAAATATTACAAAATCTTTGTTCATGCATGTATTCCCTATTATTAATTAACATTCTCATTTATTTAATTAATATTAATCAAAATTTCTCGTCAGTCCCTATTATCAATTCTCAATTAATTAACATTCACATCTATTTAAATAATATTAATTAAAATTTCACATTCACATTCATGCTAGTTCATGTTATTAATTCTCAATTAATTAAAATTCACATTCATTTAATTAATATCAATTAGAATTTCACATTCAAAAAACACAGTTCATTATTCACGTTCATATATACTAGTTAGCATCTAGTTTCATTTAATTAGAAATTAAATTATATTTATTTTGTATAAAATGATTTAACATTCATTGTCATGTATATATTATTTGGTATTAATTCTAAATTAATTAACATTCACATTAATTCATGTACATACTTGCCATTCATCTTCATTTATGCATATAATTGTAATTTTAATACTCATATTCAAATATTACTTTTACAGCACTTTTAGAGCATTTCAAAAATACATGCAATACACGTTTTACTCTAAATACTAGTCATCAAAAGGGTTTTCAGAAAATTATTCATAACATGTTAAAAAATTATTTTTTGAGAATCAACTTTGGCGCAGCTAAATGGGTCCTAAAAGATGGAATACATAGTCATATTTTGAATGAAATTGACAAGTAAATCAAATAGAGATGTGTACCAGTTATATTTTTTTATCTCTTGGAACATCAACAAGCAATGCTGGACCAGTTATTATTTTTCACTTGAAAAAATGTCTTTCTTGACGTTGAATTTTTTTTTTTTTTTAAATAATTTAAAAGTGCTTGACAAATACAATTCACGATAGGGAAGCAAAGGGCGGGATGAGATGTTGAATTTGGAAAATTTCTGTCGGTGACACATTTTACATGCCAAAAAGTGCTACTTTCCTTTTTTTAGTTGACCTTTATTATTGATGTCTGAAATGGGGTCTAGAATGCTTGATTTTTCTTTTGTAATTTTTAAATTCAAGAAACTAAACAAATTAATAAATGAGAAACGAATAATTTGAAAGAGCTATATGATTTTTGGTAGAATAAGATGGAACAGAAGTTCGGTCAATTATCTAAAATAGATTTTGCGGCTCATATATATCATTTGATTATGATCATTGAGTTTGCATATTTTGATTTTTTTAAAAATGATTTTGTGAAGCAGTTAGAGCGCTTCTCACAATGTGCCAATACAAGTGCTCTTGTGCCCGAGGGAAGGAACTCAGAAACTTGTTAGGAGTACGTTTTAGCAGGCTTCATTTTGGTGCCCAAATGATCAAACTTGCTTATAGAGTACCAATTATTTGTGAGAAGTAATGAAAGTAAACCTTATCCTATAGTGCCCCATCTGCCCGCACTTAAGACACGCACTCCACACTTATTGTTCTTGATGTAGGCAAGGCATATCTCGTTGAATCAATCTTTTTCGTTACATTACTTATAACTGGAAATCGGATCCCCTTTGGGCTTTCCCTTCTTTTTAGTTTGAATTAGCCTATATTATGAAGGGCCAGAAGTGCCAATCTGGAACTTCTGTGATCAAACCATATCTTGTTCGCAAGGAAGTGAGAATCAAAAGAGAATTAAACGGCCAAAGCCCATTCCAATATTTTTTATGTTAAAATTATCTCATCGGTATCCGCTCTAATCTTCCTAAACTCTAAACGCAAGAATGGAGAGAGCTTCGATATGAACATCATGAACTTTGAATCCAAAGCAAATATTGCAACTACTTAAGGGCTAGCTTTGCCATTGGGTCGAATTTAACTACTTCAATAGGTCCCTTGGCCACTGTAACTTAGGAGGTTGCCGTTCTTTTGTTTACACAAATCATAAATTCTTGACTAAATTGAGATCATATAGTTACTATATTTTTGGAGTGAAGTTTAATGTTAGTTGAGAACATGGATTGATTCTTGAATATTCTAGCATGAGTGTTATATAACCGTAACTGCAGAACATGGATTACTATAATTCAAGTATTCTAGCCCACAACAAATAGTCAGATTTGTGGCATGTAAATAAATGGTCTGACTTTTAGGATTGCAAATCTCCGTGATGGATCGTTTAGTTTACAGTACAATTTTTTATGCTAAGGATCCTTTAGAGAGACAATAGCAGAGTATATTTTCGTCATTGCTCAAATTGCTAGCTTATCATGACTTGTCAAAACTAATATCGATATTATGGATTCCAGTGAGAAACAGAAAGAATTTATAACCTCATGATTAGAAAGAACTCAAGCTTTTATTTCTGAATTTTCGATGATCTTTCAATGAAGGAGAGGAGTCCTTTTTATAGGAGGAGGATCTTCTACAATCACATGGACCGGTACAATAATCACACTAGATGGAAAAAGGACTTTTCAGACATACAGGACTCGAGGACAATAATCACACTAGATGGACAAACGACTTTTCGAACATACAGGACCCAAGTACAATTATCACACACATTTTTTCTGATCGAACGGACCCACTTTTGATGGAGCATAATTTACTTTAATAAAGAAAACAATGCTTTATCAATTTACTGAACGCTCAGGATTTAGTTTCTATCCACTCATCAATGCAGACGTAACATCGCCGCTATCTATTTTCTTCAATTCCTGCACAGGGCCACAGGCTGCACCTCTCTGACTACTATATCAGCTGCGCACTTCCGTGTCAGCGTTGAGTTCCAGTGGTTCTTAATAGAGTTATCAGTTCGGCCATTAAGGAGCCTCGCTATAGACGCCCACTTGTTACCATACTTTGTGTGCGCCTTCAGAATGATCTCATCCTCCTTGGGCGTAAACGGCCATTGCTCAACTTCCGGTGACAGCTGGTTGCACCACCGCAACCTGCAAGACTTCTCCAATCTCCCAGGAATAATCTGCTTATCACAGCCCAATTCCTAGCCCCATGTAGCTGTACCAACTTCTGTAATTGCTCGTCTTCTTCCAGACTCCATGGCCTCTTAATCCTATCGCCGCTGTCGTGAGATGCCATTGGTACGTGTAAAAAAACTTAACCTTAATATAGATATAGATACAACTTTTTATGTACAGACGGGTCTTGAGGAAGACGACGACGATGATATAAAGGGAAAAATTAGGGTAATTGAAAGGACCAGTTAAAGAGGGAAGGGGAGAAGCTTTACAGTTACCGATTATAAAAGGTAAGCGGTTAATGGACAGCTGGAAGGAACACGTGTCTCTGCGTAAATGAATGGAGTTAGGAAAAAATTGCCGGAAAATATCACGGTTTGGAATGAGAAAATAATATATTTCCATAAAAATCACGTGAAATATAAGGAAACAAATTTTCTCACATGAAAATAAGGAAATAATTTATTTCCAAAAAAACATACACCCTAATTTGGGTCACAAACCCAACAATCTCAACCTTGACCCAAATTCTGATGCAACAAATAAAACTCT